ACAGGTTTGCTATGAAAAAATCCCGTCGTTGCGAGTATCTGTTGAGACAACCCCCTGGCGAAACACAGCCATTGTGAGGAATAGTGAAAAACGAGCATCCATTCGCGCACAATTACAACGGTATATAAATGTACAGATCTCAGCTGCTCGATGCGACTCGTCGAACGTACGAAGAGAAGAATCCAACAGGCCGATCGAGGAGGGGGATTGGGGAAAGCAAAGCATGAGAACTAGTGTACAAGGGGTTTCATCCACGTGACTCCACGTATGAGTATTTTGGGTTGTCGCAGCTTTGATAGTGGTGAGATGGTAGGTGATGTGTTACTCATCCGCCACGCCATGCGCTACGGCAGCCTGAGCAGCCGCGCGAATGGCATCCGCAGTGAGTGCGTCGGTCAAGCCTCCGCCAGCGCTGTCCTTGTCCGCATCAGCCGGCGGGGTCTCGGGTAATGACGAGTGGACCAGCTGCTTGTACAGCGTTTCCGACACGACCGATTCGATCGTCTGCAGAGCTGCTGCGCTGACCGCTGGATCCAGATCCGTCGTCGTCTGAGACTCTCCACCAGCTGCTGCAGACGTGTCGTCGGTCGGGCCGGACGAGGAGAGGGATTGAGAGGTGAGCAACCCACCGTCGACTGCTGCGCTGCCGTTGGTGCTTCCGATCGTGGCTGCGATGGCTCGACTGATCGCGTCGGATACGGGAAGCGAGAGACTGTCTGCGTCGAGGAGTGGAGCCGAGGCGGACGCTTGTGCGATGGCGTCGAGTGCGATGGAGACTGCGATCGAGTGAGCGGGGTCCGTCGAGCCGGTCGCAGCGGGCGCAGGCGTGGATGAGCCTTCGTTGCCCACGGCGCCGTTGGCAGCTTCGGCCTTCTTGTCACTTGCCTCGTCAGACTCGCTTTTCCCAAGAACCGGGCCAGGCGCGGGCATGGCGACCTCGACTTCTTCCGCCTTGGCAGGCGAGGCCGACTTTGCGACTGGTGTTGCGCCAACTGCCGGGCTTTGCGTCGCCGAAGCAGATAAAGGGCTCGCACTCGACGACGACGTCGTTGCAGATGGCACTACTACAGCATTCGGCGTTCCCGTAGACGCAGCAACCGCAGCAGCAGCCGCAGCTTTGGCAGCCTCTTCCTCCTTGCGTTTCTTGCTGTTCTTTCGATGCACGCCCGGAAGACTCCCGCCTCCGCCACCTCGGCTCTTGGGAACAATCGTCGGATCGCCCGTCGGCTCGATGAACTCGACCTCTCCATCTTTGCCCTTCTTCTTCTTGCGACGTGTCAGCGAGCGTGCATACCGCAGACCACAGGCGTTGCACAGCGTCTTGTGTCCGGATGGTCCTCGACGCCATTCCGGACTGTTGACTTTGCCGCAGCCGGTGCATGCCTTGTCGGAACCAGGAGCATAGTCGCCGGTAGGTGCAGCAGAAGGCGAGGCAGGGGAGACACCATTTGCGTGTCCGTTTGCTGCTTTCTGTACAGGCGTGCTGCTCTTACGCTCGGGTGCCGGTCGAACGGTGTTGGTCGGTGTGGCAGGCGCCTTGACAGGCGCATTGGTGTACAGATTGATCCCGCCGCCTTCGGACTTGATCGCAGGTCTTTGATGCTGGGAGACGGCCGGGCGAGGCGTGTTCCCGTTGGCCGCCTTGGAGGAATGACCGTTGGACTGCCCTGCATGGCCATCGTGTAACGCATAGAAGCGATCTTGCGGCTTTGCCGTCGGTGATGCTGCCGAGGACGGAACTGGTGCGACCGTCTTGGGCTGGGTATGTGTCGGGAGCTTGCTGAGGTTGGAACCAGCGTTTGCCGGTCCTTCCGACACACCCTCGTTCTCCGTTCGCTGCCTTTTACTCGGAGAATGACCAGCTCCTGCATCTTCTGCCTTGCGTCTTTCTGTCTGCGCTTGCGATACGAGCTCGGAGTCTGGCGGCGGCAGTGCTTGCTGAAATGTGGTGTGAAAGCAAGCTAAAATGACACCGCCGTAAGGAATGAGAACGCTCTCGATGCTGCGAACTTTACCCTCTGTAGTCAAGGTGTGCTTGGCGCGGAAGCGCCGTGTGCAGCTGGTGTTGGCGTCCGACAATGAGGAAGAGCCGGGTGCGATCGAGACGCCTCGTGCGAGACGCGCAAAATCATCGGCAAAGTAGGATCCGTCCTCGAAGGCGGTGGTATCTGACCGTGCCAACACATCGGCGTCGACGTCAGACGAGAAAAGGCGAGGAGGCGGCCAACTTAGCAGCACCTTGCTATCCTCGCCTGCCTCGATGACCTGGAAAACGTGATCGGGTCCAGAGGCAGAGAAGGCTTCCCTCGGCGTAGCCTTGACCTGCTTCCAGATGGTATCGCACTGGTGCTGCGTAAAGCTGCCCGTTGGGGTGCCGCACCAATTCGTCCAGTCGGACTTGTTCTGCTCGTCGTTGTCCTCGGCTGCCTTGTCGATGATGGCGTGGAAGAAGCAAAGCAACATTCCATCGCCGATCCAATTGATGATGATGTCAATCGCCACGAAGCTGTCGTCCTCGACATACCGGTCCGCCTCAGGATCCCGAGGAGGGTTGATGGCACCGAGCAGCTCGCGAATGTGCGGGATGCGTGAATAGCGGCAACGCGTGACGCTGCCGAACAGAGTGCGACTCTCGACAATCCTCTGCATGTCGTCAATCACGCGGTCGCGCTCTTCCGGGTGAACGTAGTCGTAGAAGTCAGAACCGACCATCGAAGCCGATTGTTGGTCCAAGTGTTGTTGCAGGACGGGATCGAGATACACGAACTGGAGCTTGTCTCCTGTTGGGCCGTTTCCCTTGGAATAATCTGCTGACAGCAAGGCCCAGTAACATCGAGTTTTGCCAAGCTCCACTCGTGGTTCAAGCTGAGGAGGAACACTATCTCGTGAGGATGCAGGGCGCCCTGCGAGTGTCCGCTTGCCAATACTTAGAGGAAACGGCGTTTGGTCATCGGAGTATCTGCGGCACTGGTCGTGAAGGGCAGCTCGAGCTCCGGTCATGACAGATGTGTCTGCAGAAGTGCCGTTGATATGCGTTTGCGTCGTGAGTGGTGTGGTTGCAGGATTTGAGCTGCCTCGCAACAAGTCCTCTTCTGAAGCATGGCTGATCTGCTGTTGCTGAGCATGGACAGAGGCAGCGGCAGCGGCGACAAGATACGAGTCGAGATCGTCCGTCCTATCTGCACCGTCGTGAAGCGTGTGCTGCTGCTGCTGCTGCTGCTGTTGTCGTTCGAGCCCCTCTGAAGCGTGTGCTGCGGCAGCCATGGCAGCAGCAGCTGCAGCCGCTAAGGCAGCCTCGTCGGGTATTTGGATTGATGCCATCTCGTCGTCGGCACTGGGCAGCGGAGGCGTTGATGGTCTTTGATGAATGTCCCGTGTTGTCTGCTCATGGTCAACCAAATCCTTTGAGGAGATTTGCTCTGCTGCCGAGTCTGAAGCCGAATCGACGAGCATGTCGTCGGCCATGTCTACTGTCATGGTAGACTGGAGCGGTTGAACGGTGTTGTGACGGGTCCGTCAACCCTGTGAGAAGACAATGTGCCGATGGAGCAAGCAAAGCGAGCTGAGGACTGGTTCGAGAAAAGATGTACGACGAATGGGCGCTCGATGCTTGTCGGCCTTAGGCATATGCTACAATTGATGGAAGAGGCCTTTAGCGATGAGATGCATCCGCGATATCGTAGCGGCTCGACTTCCACTGCTTTGCGCAGTCGTCCTCCGTTTTCGGTGTGGAGCTTAGCCCGTGGTGTTGCCGTCAAAGACCGACCGGTCAATGACGGTGAAGAGGCAGATGGCCCGCACGCCGGTTGCGACGGCGAGGTTACGAAGAGAAGAAAGGAGGATCCGTCGCGCGCGAGCGGAAGGGGGCCGACTTTCCGCGTCGAAGCACTGGGGCTTGGCCTATGCCGAAAGGTGCGAGCGGCGAATTTCCCGATGGCCTCAGCTGAATTGAGGTGGAGTTCCGAATAATGCGGGGGAGTGATCGTGACGAGAGATCGAGAGAGTGATCAGCATGACCACTTTGTTACAAGCCTCGAAGAAAAGAAAGTGTTTGCATACTGTGCATGGTCTGCATTTCTTCTTAGGCAGCACCCTTGGGCACGCACGCTCAGGGTCACGCCCTCACGAGCCAAAGCCAATCCATTCACTCTCAATAAATTTTCTTCTTAGCCATTCCTTGCCTCAGCCAAAGGCATGCGCGGCCTCCGCCAGTGCCAATAGCTGCCGAGAGAAAAAGAAAGGTTCAAAAGCGGGGTGAAGCGAATTCTAGCGCTTTTCATCGGGCCGATGGAGTCCGACCGCACTCGTGGATTATCGGCGATCTGGAAGTTTTCGCGGAACTGGTGCTTCGCCATTTTGACATTTTGCTTGGACCGAAAAAGTTCCAACAGGCGTGACCTTCTCATGGTTCCGTTCCAACCTTCGCTGTCACGACGCATCACCATCACTATTCACTGACGCATCGAAGCCGTTCAGAACGACGAACAGCGAGGACAGCGAGGAGGCGCAGCTTTGACAGAAGGGTTCGCAGATCTCGGAAGCTTCCGATTGGGTGGACCGACCATGGCCTCGACCTCCACTTCTACGCCATCGGCGCAACCGACATCCTCGACCTCGAACGTAGCTTCGAGCTCGCGAATGCACAAGCGCAGCGATGCGTTCATCAAGGCAGGTGACCTCGTCATCGTGTTCGCATCAAGAGACAAGACACCGATGCCGCTCACGGTGACGCCGGGCGAGCACGTCTCCAACATGTTTGGTCACTTTCCTCACGACGACATGGTGGGGATGCCGTATGGCAGCAAGATGATTTCCAAGAACGGTCGAGGATACATCTATCTGCTCCGACCGACCCCAGAACTGTGGACACTAGCATTGCCGCATCGTACGCAGATCCTCTACTCGCCCGACATGTCGTTCATCTCGATGAAGCTCAACATGGGTCCTGGAAGCCGTGTCATCGAGGCAGGCACGGGGTCGGGAAGTTTTAGCCACGTCATTGCTCGCACGGTCGGACGCGCCAATGTCGGCTCAAAGTCGAGCTCGGCCAGCAATGGAGAGGCTCAAGGCCGATCGGACGGAATGCAAGTGCCGAGAAACTGGCAAGGACTGCCCAACCATTTGCAGCAGAATCTGTCTCGCGGTAGGGGCCAACCGCGCGACACGGAGGATGTCGCTCCCGATGCGGCCGAATCCTCGACCTCCAACTCACCAACAACAGAAGTAGTCTCTGCTCAAGCAGACTCGGCGTCGACGCAAAAACCTGACACGGACCCTCACGTCCCCAAAGAGGATGGCAGGTTGTGGAGCTTCGAGTTTCACGAGCCACGAGCCGACAAAGCGAGAGCCGAATTCGCCGCACACGGCATGGATAAGGTCATCGTGCTCAACCACCGCAATGTCTGCAAGGACGGCTTCGGCCTCACCGATGCCGCTGATTCCGTTTTCCTGGACCTTCCGGCACCTTGGGAAGCCATCGGACACGCCACCAAGGCGTTGCGGCGCGACACTGTGACGCGCATATGCTGCTTTTCTCCGTGCATCGAGCAGGTGCTCAAGACGGTCTCTGCTCTCAACGAGCACGGCTTCACCGACGTCGAGACGTTCGAGTCGCTCGTTCGCACCCACGAGAGTCACTCTGCCGCCGGTCCTGAGGTTAGCATCGACGAGGCCATCAACCGCATTCGCGTGGTGGAGAAACGCAAGGAGGCGAGACGACTCATTCAAATTGAAAAGGCGCGCAGCGCAAAGGCACAGGCTGAAGGCAAGCAAGAAGGTGGCGATACCCTTGATGATGCTGATGATGACGACGGCGACGCTAGCATGGCAGACAACGCTGCTTCCGAGAGCGTCTCGACGGACAGCTCTCTGAAGCGCAAAACCGATCAAGGCGAGCAAGACGGCGGTCTCGTCCCAGCAACCACGCAAACACAAGGTACCGCCGATACCAACGATTCGTATCAGCGTGGCGTACAAGAAGGCATCGCAGTCACCAAAAAGAAGGCGCGCATGATGCAACAACAGACACATCAGAACCGGCCCATCCAGCCAGCCACCGTCTACTCGAGACCGTACCACGAGATGCGGGGACACACGAGCTACCTCACCTTTGCGACGCTTCTTCCGCGCGACATGACAGCCGGTCTTTGATCGACGGCTGAAGGGCTGAACGTATATCACCGGTGAAATCATGTCATTTGCATTACATTAAATCTAATCGCGAGCACACGCTCGAAACTTGATACATTATCTCGCTCCTCACTGCTCCGCATTGAGCTTCTTCTGAAAGAACGCCCTGACATCTTCCTCGCGCACCACCTTGCCCGTGCCCGCAAACGGCTTGAGATGCTCCCACAGCGCATCCCGGAACTTGCTGTACGCATGAAGCGAGTTGATCATCTTCTCCCTCGGCATGGAACGCAGTGCTGCCATGCCTAGATCGTAGGTCGACGAAGTGACCGAAGCTGCATCGTCTTCGCGTACGGATGCTTGAGGGTCGGAGGGCGGCGCGTATGTTTCTTCTGCGTCCAGTACGTGTGGCAGGTGGGCCCATCTGGGGAGGCATGTGGTGCAGCGGCAGATGCGATCCCGGAAATCTTCGCTGAGAAAAATGTCGTATCGATGTTGCGCACCGCTTGCCGTGGAAGGTTCACTCAAGGCTGGTGTCCATTCGTCGACCTTTGAGTCGGGAAGCGAGGAGACCACTGCGAGCGCCTCCGGTAGCGTGCATGTCGTCTGTTCGCCCGTGACTTCCGCGATGGGGATGCTTGGTTCTGAAGCTTCAGCCTCAATCTTGGCCCGCTTGGATTCGCTTTCATCGACATCCTCGTCCGCACGTCGCTTGCCATCCCGTTTCTCGTCATTCCCGATCGTCGAGCTGGTGGATTGAAGCGGCGCCTCCGGCTCGCCTTTCACGGGCGCGGCAGCTGCATCCGCCGCTGAAGATCCTTCCATCATCTCCGAGGCAGTAGCCATCGTCGACCGTGCCAGATCCGCTACCGAGGACAGCAGAGCTCCATCGGCGGCAGCAGCTACATCGTCCTGCGTGAGAGCCCGTTCCTGTTCCACCGCGAGCCCAAAGATCTGCCAACTGCGGCCATCCTTGTAGGGTCCGCCTCCCTCCCTCAGCTCTTCTTGGGTAGGCACCTGAATTTTAGCGATGGCATCGTGATGCGCGATCTCAATTACATCGCTACTAGGTGCGAGGACCATCCAGCCCTTGGCTCCCGCGTAGTGTCGGAGTATGTCGTTGCCTGGCTTTCGGACACAGGCGTCGCAGATCATGAGGTCGAACAGATCGTGGTCGATGAGGGGCGGCTCTGCTTCTGGATTGGGTCGGTCGGCGCTCGACGTTTGCGCCGTTGAACTTTTGACAGCGTCGTCAGTCAGATTGCCCGCAGCATTGGGCCGCAATGAGGTGCAACTTTCGTGGAGCCACTCTTCACAGACGATGCACTGGAACATGGTCTCGTCCTCCTTCTCCGGATCGTACGTCTGGCCCCTTTCGCAGTAGCAAAAGCCGCCGTCGAAGTTGTGATTGTAGGTGTTTGCATCGTTCTGCGGGTTGAAACCAGGTTTGCGCAAGCTGCACGGTTGGGCACCTTCGGGATAAGCGAGCTGCTCAGTGAGTCGAGTGAGTCGATTTGCGTGATTCGGCTCCGTCTGACGGTACAGGTTGGGAGTGCCGCAGTCGCAGCGGAACTTGCGCTTGTTGAACAGCTCGACCAGCTCGTGATCAGCGTGACAAGAAACGCTGCAGCCAGCACAGACGCCTCCGCCGCCGCACGTTTTGCAGGCATAGACGGGTTGACGAATGTAGCCTCGCTCGTGGGTGCAAGTGTCGAACTGGAACGGGATCGCCTCGTTTGCCTGCGCTTCGAGTTTGGACTGTTGGGCGATGAGATCGGCTGCGGTGAATCCGAGCTCGTCCTCGGGCAAGTTGGGTGCGGGCAGCGATGGATCGGGTAGTTGTGCTGATGACGAGGATTGTGGGTTGGCGCTGCTTGACGATGCGGCGGAAGAAGAGGCGGACGCCTTGTTTTCCTCGCTCATGGTGAAGTGAGAAGTGTGGCTGTGGATCTGTCCTTGGTCCGGTGAACGGCGATGGAGATGCAGAAGATGGTGGAGCGCTTGGAGCAGGAAGGAGGAGTTGCGCAGCTTGGCGTGTCGTTTGACAGCCGAGTCGAATTTACACGTCGTGCGTACGCGACTCGTCTCTGCCCCTTCAACCGTGTCATTGTACTTGGCTTTTGACAGCTCGCTCTCGGACCATGATCGGCAGCTGACAGATCCCGTGCAGCTTCTTCGATCTCTTGCGAAGCTACCACTAGACTTTTACGACTGTCGTACAAGCAAAGCCACCCAAAGGGGAATCTCAGCATTCGCTGTGTGTCAGGAGTCAAGGAGGCGCAGAGACAGCCAATGAATAAGTTATGAAGCCGTGTTCGGGTCGCATGCAAAATTGGACCCTGAAGACGCTCGACTCGTTGCTCAACCGCCTTGGAGCTGCAATTTTGCCGGTCCTTCAAATGCTGTGAAAGCCCGAGAGCCTTGAACTGCAGCTGCACCCTTGCTTGCCTCCATCCATCTTGATTGCCGTCATACGCACTTGTGTTCGTTCTAAGTCCAAACGATGGCCTCACGACAGCAATCTGCACGCCTCGGTCGTCATTGGCTCGCTGTTGCCTCCCTCCTGCTTACGCTGTGCAGTCTCGGTTCCTTGGCGTGGGAGACCAAGGATCAAGCTCTCGAGCAGGCCGTCAAGCTGCTTCGCGATCCGAGCCATTTCGGCGTCTCCACCTTATCGACCAAGTATCCCGATGACCACCCTGTCGCTGACTTGGCTGGCAGCGTCATTTCCGGACCCGAGTACTTTGCGCCTTGTTCGACCGAGACGGGCTCCCTCCTCTACCTCGGCTTGACCGTCTCGCAGTCGTGGAGGAACGTGCTGAACAGCGAGCGAAAGAATGCCACCGTCAGCATAGCATCCAGCACGAATCCTGACGTAGTGGATCCACGTCATGCATCTAAGCGCCATCCGCATCACTGGCCGAGCGATCGACCTTCTTGGAGACGCGGCATGCCGTCCAAAGGGCGCGTCACCCTGTTTGGCCACTTCGAGCTTCTCAACGTCACCCAGCATCCAGAAAAGGCCAAGGCAGCGCTGAGCTGCTACCTTGATCGACATCCCGATGCCAGCCACTGGGCGCCCAACGCCACCGAGTCTCCGCACGTGCCCTTCTGGGCCACCTTCAACGTCGACAAGGTCTACTGGGTCGGAGGGTTTGGGGACGAGCACTACATCGGCTGGTTCGATAGCGCCGAGTGGAACACGGCGTGGAAATCTCATTCAATCCTCGCACCCGCGCCTCTCACCGAAGACCAAATTTTAGCGATAGACGAGGACCATCCGGACAGTCCGCAACCCTTCTCGTCCTCTGCGTCTGCCGAGTCGATCGCTTCACATTCTCCCACGGATCCGCGTCCAGCCCTTGTTTTCCAGTGAGACCTCTTCAATACCCACGTTCAATGTGCAATCAGAACAGCAAACCCCACACGATCTTTGTGAAGAGGTTGACAGTGCAGCAGCCTCTTCATCCGAGGAGCTGTGATGCTTGGTCCTTCGAAGTGCATCGTGAAAGGTCATTTGGCGAACATTGTGTTAGACCTAAGCTCTCAGATGAAAGACTGTAAAATTCGATTTATGGCTGAGTCAAGAAGCTGAATTTCAAGTTCTTCAAGTCACCCGACCTGGAGTAGGGCTCATATACGCGCGCCTCTTGACGCGTCCAGCGGAGACCAACACTTTCAAGGTGACAAAAAGGAAAGAAGAGGGGGGAAAAAGCTGCGTGTGGGTTGCATCTGCATCGTTCATTGCGAAGAGGCCCGAGAGAGAGCGTGTGTGTGTGCATGAGCAAGCACATGCTGCTGAGTCGGGCAGTCCACAGAGCAGGCTTGGCCACGCCACTCACCAAACTAGCAGCGCTCGAGTTGCATTTTGCATCCTTCCTTCATCCCTCCTTCGATCTCATCACACCTTCTCCTAGCTCGGCATCCGTAGCTCGCGACGCTTTCGCACCTATACCCACTACATCAACAGACTGGCTAGCTCTGTCTTTAGCCGCTGCATCCTCTCTGACACATAAAAGCAGGTCAATTGGGTCGACCCTTCCGTCTTCTACTGCCCTTCCATCCAGCTCCTAGACCGGAGTTCCGCTTTCTGCGTTCCCACCTTCTATTGCAACATGTCGCAAAGCAATCAGGATCCCGCTCAGATCGGCGAGGATGACGTGGGCGAGGCTTTCGGACCTCTGCCAGTTGGCAAGCTCGAGGTAAGTTGATCCGGACGCGCATCACACGATTCTGAACCCCGACCTGGACCTGACCCCGCTTGCGCCCATTGCTTGTGTCGATTTGCTTCTCTATTAGGACTTTGGCATCTCGAGCTCCGACTGCAAGAAGCTGGCTGAGGCGGGCTACAACACCGTCGAAAGCATTGCCTTTACACCCAAGAAGCAGCTGCTGCTCGTCAAGGGTATTTCCGAAGCAAAGGCGGACAAGATCCTCGCCGAGGCGGCCAAGCTGGTGCCCATGGGATTCACCACCGCCACCGAATTTCACGCGCGCCGAAACGAGCTCATTTCTATCACCACTGGATCCAAGAACCTCGACGCCATCCTGGGTGGAGGCATGGAGACCGGAAGCATCACCGAGCTGTACGGCGAGTTCAGGACGGGAAAGAGTCAGCTTTGCCACACGTTGGCCGTGACATGTCAGCTACCTGTTGACATGGGAGGCGGAGAGGGCAAGTGCCTCTACATTGACACCGAGGGTACCTTCCGACCCGTGCGTCTCCTGGCCGTGGCGGAGCGATACGGTCTCAACGGCGAGGAGGTGCTCGACAACGTCGCGTACGCGCGAGCCTACAACGCAGACCACCAGCTGCAGCTTCTCATGCAGGCTTCCGCCATGATGGCCGAATCGCGCTTCTCGCTGCTCATCGTCGACTCGCTCACATCGCTCTACCGTACCGATTTCTCCGGTCGTGGCGAGCTGTCGGCTCGACAGATGCACCTGGCCAAGTTCCTGCGAGGCCTCATGCGATTGGCCGACGAGTTTGGTGTAGCCGTCGTCATCACCAACCAGGTTGTGGCTCAAGTGGACGGAGCTACCGCGTTCACCGCCGATGCCAAGAAGCCGATCGGAGGCAACATTGTCGCACACGCATCCACCACGCGCCTGTCGCTGCGCAAAGGACGCGGCAATCAGCGTATCTGCCGTATCGCCGACTCGCCGTGTCTTCCTGAAGCGGACGCTGTCTTTTCGATCGGCCCCGAGGGTATCATCGACCCCGTCGATTGATCAGACTCTCTGAGACTTGATCCACTTGCTTGCTGCCGTTGTCCTGCATGTTTCTGTCGCATTGTACCATTATCATCCCGTTCCAGCCGCCGCAATTGTCGCATGTCTGCAGTTACGCACCAGAACAAGCTCGCGCACCACACGTTTGAGGTTGACGTGCTGAGCCTCGACGGTCGAGTAAAAGACACGCAGAGGCACAAATGAAGCCGTCTGGCTTTATGTGAGAACGTTTGATTCCAGGCAACGATCTGCGTTGAGCTGACGACGGCGCGCACCTTTGACACTCTGCCTCCGGCCCACCTCGGACATTCTCACACACTTGACAGTATATTGACGTCTATGTGATTGTCGAAGGTCGGAGCTACGGGCAAGCAAGGGAGAAGTAGTGAGCAGAAGAGAACATTCGAGCTTCACAAAGGTGCTCACTGGAAGGGAAGGCTATCGTACGAGTGAAGCATGGCTTGTGTCGTCACTGTCTTTGTAACTCAAAGCTGCAATCTGACATGACGAAGGCTTTCGAAAAATCCGTTTCTGTGGCAAAGTGCGTGTGCTGTGACAACAACGAGTCCGAAGCTCGAGTGGCCAACGAGTCAGTCAAAGTCAATAATCCGTCAAAGCTTTGTGGCACTGGATGGCAGGCAGGCAGGCAACAGCGCAGTCCCTGTCTCGCTCTCACAGACCTGCACGCAATCTAGACACAGAGGGCTCTGCAGCGCAGATGCAGCAGCAGCAAGCTTTACCTCAGTGACATGCACTCAATCCGAGGCTCGGCTGTCGACTCATCCGTCCCCTTTGTACAGATTCCATCATTCCCACCATCATCGCACTACTATAAGCTCAAGCTTCGGCCCCCCTTTCCCTCTTCGATCCTCCCTTTCATATCTTCCGCCTCTCGGTCTCCAGCATAGTCGCGGTTCTCATTGGCCTCGCAACTCTTCTTGTTCAGTTCAGCAGCTCTCGACGCATCGACTCATTGCATAAAGTTGTCACCATCTTCCTGAACTTCTCAGAACTACGTCACAAGAGGTCATTGCATTACGCCAACAATCTCGTCCGAACGAGAAAGCGACCGCATCTCTAGCACAGCGCACACCACCGGTCATCGCTACTTGACTTGCGTCGACGAACATTCCCATCTTTTGCCTTGCGCGCTTTCATCACGTCGGGCTTCAGCTTTGCCACGGCGCTACAGCTTGCAACCTTTCTCCTGATCGCTCCTCCTCCCTTTGCCTTTGTCTTCTGGGACCAGCATGATCGCTGCAATGAGGCCAACACATGCGCACTCCACTGCGCCTTCCGTCCACTCAAGACCAAGTTCACGCAACTCATCCCACAACCCGTCATCCGCCGTCGCTTCGCCTTCTGCGCAATCCAAGAACGTCAAGCTTGCCGCCAAAGCTGCATCCAACGTCTCAAACGGCGTCTCTGGCAAGAAGGCGTCAGCTGCTAAAAAGGCCGCCAAATCGCAACAGAACGCCGACGCAACCAAACCTAGTACCTCCTCACCCGTGCCTGGCCTCATCACGTTGACTAAGCCCATGTCTGACGAAATGCAAGCTTCCAAGCAGCAGCCCGCAAAAGCCAAGAAGGCGAAGGAAGCCAAATTTGCGGCCGATGAGGCCAACTCTACTCCTGTCAAGTCTTCACGTTCCAAGAAGTCAAAGACGTCTCCCAAAGCGGACGCCTCCGAGATGCTCCTCTCCAAATCCGCCCCTTCCGCCCCGCTCGCTCACGCTCACGCGCAACATCCTTCACAGAACAAGCACAACAACGACGCCGGCGACCAAGTTCCAGCCCTCACCTGGCAGCAAGAGATGTTTAGGAACACCTCCAAATCGAACGCCGATCTGTCGCACCAAGGCAACAGCTCCAAGCGCACCAACAAAAAGTCGACCAAGCACGATGGCAACTTGGCCCATCCACAACAGGTGCAGGACGGTCGGGACTCGCCTGCGCTGACCTGGCAGCAAGAGCTGCTCGGAGCCAAAAAGCGCGCAGGTCCCCATTTCGACGTCTTTGCCGATTCGCGTGACGTCGAGACCTTTGGAGCTGGCGATGGTGCTTCTCAAGGCAATGGTCAGGCCAATGGCAAAGCAAATAAGAGGCGCCCCAGAGCCGGCAGCTTTGGCTCTGGTGGCCAGAAGAATGGCAAGAGCGTCACCAAAGGTCGCGCTAATGACGTTCCCCTTCACATTGACGATCTCTTTGAGTCTGCAAAGGCAGATGGCATGGCCAAGTCCAAGTCTGCACAATCTCAGCGCATCCCTGGCGGGAACGGCAACGCTGCCCATCTACACACTCATTATCCTTCGCACGGTGCGCCCATTCACATTGCGCCGTCCACCCCGGTCAAGAAGGCCAACAACGCCAATAACGCCAATCAACAGCAGCATCACCCTGCCGTCGCAGCCGCCATCGCTTACGCGGGCCCCAACTTCCACAATTCGCCCTCCCCCGCCAGCTTGCCCGCTCCCAAGTTCCACAATCGACTCAGCAAGAACAGCTCTGAGCTTGATCGAGGCAGCATGCGTCCCTCGTCGCTTGCGACGGGCAGCAGCGGAGAATCGACCGGCAGCGATGACGAGATTGAGGAGCTGACTCGCGGTGTGCGTGGCACCACTGCTCCAGCCGAAATGACGAGCACACCTTCGAAAGCGCCTGCTCCTGCTGCCATCCCCTCGCACAACATCGCTGCAGCCGAATCGCCTGCCGCCAAATCCAGCGTGCAGCCCGGCGCAACCGTCGAGAGCCTTCTTGCTCGCATGCTCGGAGGCGCCAGACTCAACTAAATGCCAGATGCGGCATTGGTCTACCATACTCTCACCCAAGGAACCGGCACTCTCTCGACTGGACGTCTCCCTTCTCTGCTATCTGCTGGCAGCTTTCCTCCCCGGATCCTTTTTTTCACGTCGCTTTCATCTCCGCCCAGTCCAGCTACGTTTCTCCAATAGGTCAGCGCGTCAAATTCTGAAGCGCCCTGGCCGCAAGTTGTCGATCTTGCTTCGCCCTTGGCTTGCTTGTTCGACGCTTGTCATGTTTTGGTTCTCACGCGCGTTTCTTCTAGAGCGCTCTTTCTAGTATAGGCACCATTTGGATATCTTCAACACGGCCACTCACTCTTTGACTCGGACCGGACCGTAGATTTCCTCATATTGTCTGCCACAGGATGGCTGTACGTTGTCGTTCGCATCGCATGTCGTCTTGTATCAGTACCGTATTGTACCTTTCCGAGACCAACGTCTCGCACCTCTACGGCGGCCGCCGTCAGCATTTACTGCTGCAACGCTCCAGCCTGCCAGCACTTCTCTTACCTCTTTTCGTCGCTGTGGCGAAGTTGGCGATTTCCTCGCCTCTCACCGACCTCAGTCCACCACGAACGATAAGCACCGCATTATTCGCCAAGCCAAAGTCGAATTGCCTTGCAACGGCATTCTCGACCGCGCTCACAAAGCGACCGTTCCACCAGCGCACCTCAATGCAAGATTTGACCATGGTCCCGGCGGGACTGGTCTCAACGCCTTCGCTAAACTGTCTCAACAGTTTCAATCGACACGCTCAAATGTCTCCCACCTGCCCGGCTCTCCGATTTGCGCCTCTGCGCGCACTGTCTCTAGCTTCCCCTCCTATCCGCTTCTCTCTGATCCGCTTTCCCTATCCTACCCTCGTCATCCATGTACGCTCATCACTCATGTACTAGTCCTCCGCATGGATCCTCACGCCGCTGTCGTCGGGGTGAGACCTTCCTGATCCCCTTTATCAATTCAACATCAATCCCTCCTCCGATTAGGCATGTGCTGCGAGATTCGACAGCGTTGGATAGAGAAAGGGCACTGTGCGGCGTAACATTGTAATGCTTCCAAAAACGCGCCTGTGGAGAGTCGCGCGGAAATGGGTGAGTGTGTCGCGTAAAGCGTTGGAACGGGAGTGTGTTGGTTTTGCAGCTCGACCTTGTTCTTCCTGACGACCTTCATTCCATCGACCTACCATATATCTGTGTGTCGCCAACGACGAAAGAGACAGTCAAGCCTACTATAACGAACAACACATCGAGAGTTTTTTTGGCAAGAACAATATGCCAAGAAAGTCGACAGGAGGGGTATCTGTGGGAGGTGGATCTCAACCTAGCACTCCTAAGTCGAGGAAATCCATCTCGACGGATTCACCGCTTCCGCTGAATCCTGATGTATCCATCACCACTACTTCCGCCAACGCTTCACTGTCAATCCCGACGACTTCAAAAGCTGTTCTCAAACAACAAGAAGTCGCACTTCGCGGGATTGAATCCTTCGAACTACCCCGTGGTCCTCTCATCAAATTCGCAAAAACCACCCTCCCCGACTCCATCACCTTGCGCAAAGACACCCAATCCGCCATCGTCCGTTCCGCTTCCGTCTTCATCAGCTACCTCACCTCCACCGCTCACGACAACGCCAAAGCCAAAAAAGGCAAGATCATAGGCGCCCAACACGTCATCGATGCACTACGAGACTTGGATTTTACCCACGAAGAGGTCAAGGAAATCAAGGATCATCTCAGAGCCTACAGAGAAGCAGCAGCAAAGAAGAAAGAGAAATCGAAAGAAAGCAAGGATGGAGCAACAGGGGAAGGAGAGAAGGATGGCGATCAGAGTTTGGTAGAGGATGCGTTGGAGGTGGAAGAAGAGTACGAGGAGGAGGCGGCAGAGCAGGAAGAGGACGACGAAGGCGCAGATCAGTTGATGGACGAAGACTGAACCTGATCACATTCACTTTCCATCTCACTGCAATCATACACACACTCACACACACATAAACCACCCAAACTGCCGCATCAAATCTGAGTCTCCCTTACCCCTCCCTAACAATCCCCACCTGAACCTCAATCCCCGCCCTCAACAACACATCAATCCACACCTTCTGCGTCTCACTCAACCTATCCCCCGGCCCCTTGACCTCCACAAACCGCACCACGCCATCCGCCACCCTCCAAATCACCAAATCCGGCATCCCCGAACTGCAGTGATCCCACTCCTCCACCAACATCTGGCAAACCACACTGATCGAATGACCCCCCAGACACTGCGCCACCTCCAACACGTCCTCTCTACTGAACAAATCCCAGCGACACCCCACCGCCCACGTCCTGTTCGCGCGTTCGCGCGCATCCACCTCGGCGATCAGATCCAACCCGCCCGTCCGTTCGATGTGGTCCAACCGCTCGCGGATCTGCCGGCTGCGCACGATGGCGAACGAATCGGACGCCAGATCGAGCGGAGCAGACTGGTAGGGCGTTTCGAAGGATCCCGCGATACCTTGGGCGAAGATCACGTCCCACATGACCAGCACGAAGATCATGGTCAGCAGCTTGCCCTCGCAGTGGTAGCCTTTGAAGCCTTGGAGGGCGTAGTGCTGGAGGCAGAGCTGCTCGACGTGACACGGTCGGTTGTCGAGCCCCCGCCAGACGCTGCGCATCGACCGACGCGTAGACGTCGAGACGGACGAGGGGGCTTCGCCTCCCGACATTATGGACAAAGCAGTGGGATCGGGTGCAGGTGCAGACAATTCATCCCAGGAGATGTCGTCCAGATCCTCCTTTTTCACCGTGATCGACTCAGTGGATGTGTCTTCAGCCACCGGCGTGGTCTCGCCTTTCACAGACGACTTGAAAGTCGAATCCTCGTCTTTCACTGCGCTGGCGCTATCCGCGAACGACTCGATCTTGACGCGTTTGAAGAGCGGTTTGCGGATCTCGAAGCCAGAAGAACTGCGTTTGACAGGTGAGCCTTTCGACGGACTGCTACTGCTGCTGCTCCTACTGCGCGAACCGGGTCTCGGCGGCGTGTTGCCCGCAGACCGAGGCTCGTCAGGCGACGTGGGCGGCGAGTTGCCCGTCTGCAAGAATTTCGACAGAGCCGTCATGGGCTCGTTCGTCCTCACGTCCGTCTCAGCCATGGAATCCAATCGGATACCCTTGAACTCGACCTCGGAGGTCTTCTTGAGCTTTGTATACGAGAAGTCGTGCTGCTCCGATTTAGGGATGCGCAGCTGCGACTCGAGCCTCGCGATTCGACGCTGTAGCGTATCGTGGTAGATGAGATGCGTGTCGGGATCCTGCATGCCTCGCACGCTGATCTCCAGCGCTTGACGCTTGCCCTTGCGCTGGTCATCCGAATACAGAGCAGTGATAAGCGCCAGCCGATCGTACCAGTCGCCACGACGTCCGCGTCGAAAGACCTTCTGATCGAGCAAAGCTTGCAGCACCTCCTTTTCTCGATCTCTTAGCTTGAATCTAGCGAGCACCGTGGCGCCTTTGTAGACGATACGGGTGAGCACCCAGCCCGGATGGAACCGCATGCGATGGTAGACCATCTTGTCGATGCCTTCGGGATGTGCTGTGACGCACTCCTCGACGCACGACTTCCATTCGTCCCAAACCGAGTTGAAGAGCGCGAGTGCGGCCTGAAAGTCGGCCTCGCTTTTGCCAAATTGTATGAGATACTCCATCTCGGCTTCGATGGCTAGAGCACGTTCGAAGGCGATGAGGTGATCTCGAGAGGGAAAGAGGAAGCTAGTGCGTCGGTAGTCGTATTTAGGATAGTTGCGGATGCGTGACCGCGAAAGGATGGCGGTGGTGAGTGCGGCGCTGCCGAGGAGGTTGCCGCGATAGTAGACGAGGGCGACACGATCTACAAGCGAGCGGACAGCGGGAAGCACCTGTACACAGCCACCTCCTAGGGCTTGAGAAAGTTCGTCCTTTAGCCGTGATGCCTGCGCCTGCGCCTTCTTGGGACTGGCAAAGTTCAGTGTGAGCTGACTGGAGCTGCCGGCTGTAGAGCCGTCATGAGGTTGGGTCTTCTTGGTTGGGCTCTTGAAGAGCATGGACTGCGATCGTGTGGCAGAAAGGGCAGCTACGATCTGCGCACGTGTAGTGCCGATCTTTGCGATGCCCAAATTCTTGGCAATGACTTTGAGCTCTTCGATAGTGAGCAGGGAGAGGGATTCGGCTATACCGCCTTGCATATCGCGTTGGGTCATGACGAAACGGTCTAGCCGTGGCTCGGTGTGCTGCGTTTCAGGCTGGATCTTGCTCACCAACGTGGCACCGTTGGCGGGTATGGAAGACTCGGCAAGCGGCTGCTTGTGCCGGTAGGTCGGGGTGCGTGGCAGGCCAGTCTCTTCGTCGAGCTTGAGCTGACGTTGAAGACCAGGGAGCGTGAGAATGGAATTCTCCTTGTCCGTGTCGAGGGCAAGATTGCGTCGGTCCTGCTCTTCGACCCTGGCAGTCTCTACTTTGGGACCTTGACTGGGCGGTGAGGAAATGAGAGTTGCGAGCTCGTCTGTTGCTGCCTTGAGATCTTGTACTTCAGAGCGGTAGGCCTCTAGCCGATCGAGACGATACCAAGTGTCCTTTTTGCGTTGCAGCAGACGCACGAAAAGGTAGCGTGCTGGGTAGGAGAGCATGAAGAAGGCGGAGAGGATGTCGAGCTCTGCGTTGGAGAAAAGGTAGGACTCGGACTCGAGGACGGCGCAGACCATCTGCTGGAAGAGTTCGGGATACATGGAAGAGCGAGATCCTGGGCGGTAGGCATTGGTGTACGGTTGTTGCGAAGAGGAAGGGACCGTGACATCCTCTTGAACGACGGGACTACCAGCATCGTTGATTGCATCCATCTTCAGTGCTCCTGCTGCTACTGGTGGTGCTTGTAGCGAGTCTGTTTTTCAGCTGTACTGGAACCTCGCCCACTGGCGGATGGGCCCGGTCGATGTCGACGATGACGTGCGTGGGCTCTGTCTTGCCGAGATGGACTGGTAGCTAAGATGCGATGATGTGATGATCGTCTGCTGCGACGCTTCCGCGCGGCTCGAACTGCGTCTGGCTCGTACAGATCAGAGGCTTCGTCTGAAGGTGTTGCTATTGGAGAGGACCGGGTTGTAGGTAAAATTTTGGCAGCTTTGCGTTGAGCGAGGAAGGCTTGCATCGCCTTGAGAGGGTCGTTGGATGACTTGATGCTGGAGTCCTTGTAGGCGTCCTCAAGACGTTGATCTTCGGACTTGCGGGCGTCTTTGCCGTTGCGTAGCTTGGAGGTGGTGTACCAAGGAGTCAACTCGTCTTCCGGACGGAGCAGCGAGTGACCTGACGACGGCCTCGAAGTTGATGATGAGGCTCGAGCCGGACTTGGAGAGGGAGACGGTCGCGGTCGAGGCTCCTGCGTCGTAGCTGGTGTGGAGCTGGGGGCTTTGCGACCGGATCGAAGCGCTTCGAGACGAGCCTCGTCACGGCGGGCGAAGGAAGCTTGACGTTGGTGTTCCTGGCGTTGAGCCTCTTGTTGCTCGTCCTGGAACACTCTGTGCTGGTTGTCCCTGTTGTAAGGATGATAAGACTTGTGCTGAGACAGATGCAGAGGCATTCTGCTCTTCAGCGTCGAGGTGCCATCGAGAAGAGCTTGAAGCGGGTAAGCTTTGGTTTGGAAGGAAAGCTGAGCAGTGAGCAAGCAGCAGTGCTGCATGCAGGGTCCAAAGCTAGTCAGCCCGCCATCCGAAAGGCCATTCGAGCAGCGCCTGTGTGACTTCTCAGAAGATTCAAATAGTCGGTGACTTTAGACAAGTCAAATAGTTGGCGCGACTTCCGTGCGGAAGAAGGCAGAAGAGGCCAGCGGAAAGTCACACGTCCACACGGCTGCCGAGACGCGTCTGTTGTTGCGTGCTGCTGCCAGCCAAAATTACACTCCGGTTGACGCGCGCGTCCCCAAGTGAGTGAGTGTTGGTCTCGTCTCTGCGTGTGGCAGCCAACGCCAGCCAGGAGCGCATGACCTCATTTACGCTGCGATCTGTGGGTCGCATTCGTCGGCCCGCACTGATCGCATTCAATGAAAGAGGAGAAGCCCGACACAATACTTCAGATGGCAGCTGAAAGCTACACAGCATCGCGGAAAGACTCATCCGCTCTGGTCAGGGGCGCACAACGGCGATCAAGCACACGAGGAGTTGGAGAGATGGCCCCTGTCGGCTGGGAACTGAGTGCCATGTTTTGTTGCTCGAATTGAAATTTAAATATAAAATAGTGGGCCGGCAAGTCCAGTGTCAAAATTGGGCATTTGAGCTGTTCAGGGGCGCTATTTGTCTCACCAAAGCGCAAAATGAACCCTTTCCGTCACGGCGCAACTTTGACTCCGTGGCTGCCGCCGTGCCTCGACCGAGCTGTGTGGAGCTGCTGGAAGTGTTGTTCTGTGATTCTGTTTCTGCTTCTGCTGCTAGAGACGCAGGTGCAGCTTCGGCCCAGTCAATGCAAACATACACACTCACACAACGCTAAGTCGCCTTCTCGCTCGTCGCCATCATCCTCATCCTCATCCTCATCGCCACACTGTCCTGCGCATTCATTCGCGGTCATCATCGCCGTCATCACCATTCTTTGCAACAACCGCAGCGCCCCGGCTTAGTCCTTTCATCTACGTTCTTTCGTTCCTGGACATTATCCTCAGCACCGCGAGAGCAGTCGCACCGTCAACGCCAACACACGCTCTCCAGTGCGCGAAGCCTTGCTACAACGAGCACCTAAAAAGCACTGCTCAAGCTAAAAGCAACATCTCCTGGAGGATCATTCCGTATCAGCGTCGACGACGACGTCACAAAACATCTCGCCATCATGGTCGATGTTGTTCGCACAAAGTCAAATCTCTTCCGCCCATCACATCGCGCATCGCCCTCGGTAGAAGCGAACAATGCAGCGCAGCTAGCCGCCGCCATGCCACGTCCCTCGAGGGGCGTCGGGCAGTCCGCATCTGACGCTGCTTCTGCAGCAGAATTTGCAGCCAAAAAGTACGTCTGGATCCCTGATCCAAATGTCGGCTACCTGTCCGCCTGGGTCATCAAAGAGGAAGGCGATCAGTCCCTCTGCGCCTTGCAAGATGGCTCGAACCGTACCGTCCCCACTTTTGAGCTCAGCAAGATGAATCCGCCCAAGTTCGACAAGGTCGAGGATATCGCCGACCTCACCTTCCTCAACGAAGCCAGTGTCGTGCACAATTTGCGGCAGAGGTACTTTAGCTCGCTCATTTACACCTACTCAGGCCTCTTCTTGGTCGCCGTCAACCCATATCGCTCGTTGCCCATCTACACCGATGCCATTGTCGCTGCCTACAAGGGCCGTAGAAGAGAGGAGAACGCTCCGCACGTCTTTGCACTCGCCGATGAGGCTATGCGCAACATGATCGACAATCGCGAGAACCAAAGTCTGCTCGTCACCGGCGAATCAGGTGCCGGAAAGACCGAAAACACAAAAAAGGTCATCCAGTATCTCGCCGCCATCGCCGCCGACCCCGCCGCTCACGGCTCCCAGTCGCCTGCCAACTCGCTCACCCCTTCCTCGTCACGAGAAGTCCTCGACCGCATCAATGGTGTACAGCCTGTCGCCTCAAAGCGTCTCGGCCTTCTCGAGCGTCAGATTTTGCAAGCAAACCCCATCCTCGAAGCCTTCGGTAACGCACAGACCATCCGCAACAACAACTCGAGTCGTTTCGGAAAGTTTGTCCGCATCGAATTCACATCCGTAGGAGCCATTGCTGGCGCAAACATCGACTGGTACCTCTTGGAGAAGAGCAGAGTCGCCATTCGAAGCGAGAACGAGCGAAGCTTCCACATCTTTTACCAGCTCTTGCGCGGTGCCGAGCCCGAGCTCAAGCAAAAGCTTTTGCTTACCAGCTCTGCCGACGACTACGCTTACCTCAAGGGCACTCGTAAGCACGTCGAAGGTGTCGATGACAATGCCGAATGGAAACTGCTGCGCGATGCACTCAACACCGTCGGCTTCACTCCCGAAGAGCAGCTCAACCTCTTCCGTGTGGCTGCTGCCATCCTGCACATCGGCAACATCCAGCTTGCCACCGACCGTTCCGAGCAGGCTCGCATCACCAACATGCCTCAGGTCGAGAAGATCTGCCACGTGCTCGGCTTACCGCAGCAAGAGTTCGCTAATGCCCTTCTCCGACCGCGCGTCAAGGCCGGCCGCGAATGGGTTACCTCAGCAAGGACCATGCGTCAGGTCTCTGAGGAGATGGCTGCACTCAGCAAAACCCTCTACGAGAAGGCCTTTGGTTGGCTCGTCGACCGCATCAACAAGGCGCTCGATCGACCCACCAGCAAGAGCAGTTTCATTGGTGTCCTCGATATTGCCGGCTTCGAGATCTTCGACGTCAACAGCTTCGAGCAGCTTTGCATCAACTATACCAACGAGAAGCTCCAGCAGTTCTTCAACCATCACATGTTTGTCTTGGAGCAGGAAGAGTATGCGCGAGAAAACATCGAGTGGGACTTTGTCAACTTTGGCCTCGACCTTCAACCCACCATCGACCTCATCGAGTCCACCACGCCGATCGGCATCCTTTCGTGCCTCGACGAGGAGTGCATCATGCCCAAGGCCACAGATCTCACCTTCACCGAAAAGCTCAACCGCACCTGGGGTACCAACAAGGACGGCTCGGCAATGGACGCCGCTGGTGCTGCCATGGCGGCCGAGAAGGGTCTAGCTCACGGTTCAACCAAGTTCGGGCGCACTCGATTCGCCTCAGGCTTTGTCGTCAAGCACTACGCAGGCGATGTCGAGTACCGCACCGACGGATGGCTCGACAAGAACAAGGATCCTCTCAACGACAACCTCACCCGTGTCATGTCCGAATCCAGTGACCGCTTCATCGCCTCGCTCTTTGCCGAGTACGCCGAGGTCGACGAGGAGACTTCGCTCGCCTCCGCACCTAGGCGTCGCGTTAAGCGTGGTGCTTTCCGCACTGTCGGCCAGAGGCACAAGGAGCAGCTCAACTCGCTCATGGCTCAGCTTTCTTCGACACAGCCACACTTTGTTCGCTGCATCGTTCCCAATCCTGAAAAGAAGCCGGGCAAGATGGATGTGCCGCTCGTACTCGAGCAGCTCCGCTGCAACGGTGTCCTCGAAGGTATCCGCATCGCCCGTCTCGGATATCCAAACCGACTCCTCTTCTCCGAATTCAGGAATCGCTACGAAGTCTTGACTCCCGGCATCATTCCTCCAGGCTACATGGACGGCCGCAAAGCTTGTCAGAGGATGGTCGAGTCGCTCGAGCTCGACAAATCGACGTTCAAGATCGGCACTTCCAAGGTCTTCTTCAAGGCCGGTGTGCTCGCCGAGATGGAAGAGCGCAGAGACTCGCACCTCTACGACATCTTCAGCCGCTTCGGCGCTGCCTGCCGTATGTACACCGCTCGCCGCCAGATGAAGAAGATCCTCAACCGTGCAGCGGCCGTGCGCACGGTGCAGCGCAATGCGCGTCTCTACGTCGAACTGCGCGAATGGCCGTGGTGGCAGCTCTACACGCGTGTCCGACCGCTGCTCACAGCCACCAGGCACGACGAGGAGCTCAAGCGGAAGCAGCTCGAGCTTGCCATGGTGACCGAACGTGCCGAGCGAGACCAGAAGGAACGCGAAGCACTCGAGGCGCTCAAATTCCAGCTCGAGTCTGAAAAGCGCAAAATCGAGGAACAGCTCCAATCAGAGCGAACCCTGTTGCTCGACAAGGATCAAGTCTTGGCTCGTTCCAAAGAGCGCGAGTCGGCTCTCGAAGATGATCTGGCAGCGCTTCAAGGCGACGTGGATCTGCTCGAGGGTCAGCTCGAGAAGGCTCTTGCGTCCCAAAGAGCAACGGAGCAAGCTCACGCGGAGCTGAAGCAGGCCTTCGACCAGGCTGCCGATCATCTGCTGCGACTCGAAGCAGAGCAGAAAGCCTGGAAGCAGAAGGAAGACACCTTCATGCGCGATCTCAGCACACACAGCACCAACGCAGAGCAATTCCGTTCTGAGCGCCAAGCTTTCGCCGCGGAGAGGGACGACTTGTCCCGCAAGCTGCAAGAAAAGGAGCAGGATGTCGACCGCGCCCACAAGCGCATGCTGGCTGCCGTGCAGGAAGTCGAAGCGAAGTTGCTCGCCGAAGCCAATGGTCGTCAAGAGGAGCAGAAGCGCGCGTTGCAGCTCGAGGATCAATCGCGCCAGTCGTCCTACCAGCTTTCGGAGCTGCAGCGTGTCGCTGCAAGCCACGAGACTCGTGTCAAGGACAAGGAGCAGGAAGTTGGCCAGCTGCAGAAGCAAGTCTCGGATCTCTCTCGAGAGCGCGAATCCCTCACCAAACAGCTCGAAGAGCTTGGCCTCAAGCTCAACACGTTGACGTTTGATGTCAATTCGGTGAAAGACGAACACGCCAAGACGAGCGAAGCCAGAGCTGCTCTTCAAAGGGAGCTTGACGAGACTCGACGACTGATGGAGGCAAAGAGCTCTGAAGATGTCAAGACAAAAGAGGTCCATCGTATGAAGGAGCAAGAGTTGCAGACGCTGAGAGAGCAGATGGCCAGTGTTCAGCGGGAGCTTTCCGAGTCCAAGCATTCCAGTCTGGAGCAGATCTCGGCTTTGCGCGCAGAGATTTCGGCGGCGCAAAAAGAAGCACAGTCCCACGGCGCTGCACGACAAGGCGCCGAGGTCCAGGTGCGCGACGCTGAAGTACGCGTCCGAGAAGCCGATGCCAAGATCGCTGCTGCCGAAAAGGCCAAGCGTGAAGCCGAGGCGAAGCTGCAGGAAGCGCAGAGCAAATCCGCCGTCATCAATCGTGGCCTGCAGGACGCACTGAAGAACAAAGACATGCTGGAGAAGCAGCTGGCAGCGTCCGCCACCAAGCACCAAGATCTCGAAGATGCTCTGCTCGAGCTGGAGCGAAACGAAGCCAACTGGAAGCACAAGGCTGACCAGGTGGCTGTTGAGCTCAGCACCGAATCCAAACGACGCGAGTTGCTCGAGCAGGCGCACAAGCAGGCCGAACGCAACGCCAACAGCTTGCAGCAGCTGGTCGCAGGCAAAGACAAGGAGATCAGCGGGCTCAAGCATGAATTGACGCTGGTGCAGCAGGAGATGCGCAAGCTGCAATCCATGCAGAACAAGACCATCGTGGAGCACGTCCATGTGCTCGAAGAAGCGAAGAAGTACACCGATCGACAGCTGGCAGATGCGCAGTCCAAGTTGCAAGAACTAGCACACTACACAAAGACGCTGGAGAAGAGCAAGACTCGACTTGCGAACGAGAACGAGGATCTGACGCGCGAAGTCACGCGGCTTCAACGAGCGGCTGGCGGTGCAGTGGCGGCTTCACCGACGGTCGGGAACGGCCTGCGTGGAGCTGTTACGACGTACGGAAACGTCGCGCCTTCTGCGAATGGCGACGCTAAATCGGTCAAGAAGCTCGAAGATAAAGTAGCGGAATTGACTTCGTCGCTCAAGCAGGCGCAACAGCAGAGGGACGAAGCCCTGTCGAATGCGCGTCGCAAGGATCTTCAAGCGGATGAGATGGTGTCTCGCACCAGACGACAATTCGAAACGCACATTCAAGAGCTGGAACGACAGCTGAAGAATTCGCAGATCGCGAGGAGTACGACGATGACGAATTTGGAGGAGTTGATTCTGGCGGGACACGGATCGCCGCAAGTGACCGGCGGAAGCAGCGACGGGTTGAGGCATCAGATTTTGGACGAGTTGAGACGCGGCCACGAAGAGCTGGAGCAGGATATTGCGGCCAAGAGCGATCTGCTGAGGAACCACAAGACTGCTCCCACGAACGGCATCTCTGCTCCCACCAGAGGTTCGAGCAGCTACTACGTCTACGACAAGCCCCGATCCAACCACGCCAGCAACGGCTCCTCCTCCTCCTCCAACACCTCGGACCTTGAAACGAAGCTCGCCGAAATGACACGAGCCTACAACGAGTCGCTCTCCAACCAACGTTCGACGCAAACCCAAATGGCGTCGCTCGTCACGCAGATCCGAGACCTGCAATCCGGACTCGACGAAAGCGAGCTCAAGTACGACCAGCTCGCAGCTGCCTACCAGAGTCTGATCCAAGAGGCAGGTGTGGACGAAGGAATGATCGAAAGCCTCCAATCCACGCTGGAGAAGTACAAGAGTCAGGCGGATAAGCATATGGAGAGTTGGAGGAGCAGCACCATGGAGCTGGAACGTCAGGCCAAGAGTCTCAAGAGTTCGGTGGGGAGGGGCAGAGGCGGAAGTGTGGTCGGAGAGATGAATGCGATGGGTAGTCCGAGCAGAAGTGCTTTGAGTATGCGTTAGGGTCAGACACTTTTCCGAAACTTTTCCCCTTTGTTCCATACACACACACATACACACTGTTTTTCGTTTTTGTTACAGATGACCACGACTCTTCAATGTTTGACGAATGACGATCTCGGAATTCCACCGCACAATCAACATGCGATGTATGCAGTGAGAAGAACATGGAGCGTTGAGGCCTACTCGCTCAACTCTCGATCTAGCAAGCGTTGCAGGGTGGATGGTTTCCACCACGACTGTTGCGCCTCGAGGGTTTGGAATACGTGATCTTCGCGGAAGGAGTATTGCTCGTAGATGTAGTCTCGGGGTGTGACTGCATCGGTGGGGTTGAGGTCGGTGTCGGAGGGTGGAGTGTGCGTTGCTAGCGAGCTGCTTCTTGTCGGTGGAGCTGCAGCTGCGTCCTCGCTGTGGCTAGAAGCGATGGATAACGCCGAGCCAGCCGCAGCTGCCGACACCTCACCCACCGCTACCCTCGCCGCTCCACTCGACGACCTCCTACTGCTCCTCCTCCTCTTCTGCATCTCGACCAGCTCACCCGTCGCCTCCTTCTCCCTCCTCCAAACCGCCAACGCAGCCCTATCCTCTCCCCTCAACACTGACACCAGCTCCTCCCCTTCCGTCCCGTACAACCTCGACTCCAACATCTGCACCAGCCCCAAACACACCCGATAGATCATCCCATCCGTCTCGTCCAGCAGCACCACATCCCACAACCTCATCACCGTATCTACATCCAACCACCTCGTCCACAACTCGCAGACCCAGTCACGCAGCACGACGCGATGCAGCTTGACGTTGTGCGCCAAAAGGTTGGCGAAGACTTTGGGCATCGAGTCGGCCAGGAGCGTTTCGAAGACGCGTTCGAAGCCTCGGATCGCCTTTTCTTTGGGCGGCAGGGTGTATGCGGAGCCTGTCTTGCGCGTTGCTGGTGTCGGGATGGATGCGTGCGCAGGGTCATCGGAGGGGAGCGTGTTGGGCAGCAAAGAGTAAAGTGCCTTGAGCCAAGATTTCGAATGCAACAGGTTGAGCAGCGCGATGAAGGCAGTGTTGATCGACATGTTGATCAGCAGCACTGCAGCGAGGCTGGCGAGACCGGCTTGGTAGAGATCGATGCCGCGTCTCGTGTATTCGTCCTGCGGCTCTTCCGACGCAACCTCGTTATCGGCAGATGGAAGCTCCATCTTGCGAGGTCGGGGACTGGCATTCTGATGTCGACTCGCAGCCTTGTTGGCGTCTCCAGCGACATCGAGCTCTGCAACCTGCTCGATGCGAACGAGCACAAACGCCCGACAGAGCCTCACCAAGTCCTCGTGCAGCGGTCCATCCTCCTGAAACAGCTTCAGGCTCGGCAACGCCTCCTCTACATCATCATCGATCTGATCCAACACCCTCCTCGGAATCACCTCCTCCATCTTCCCATCCCCGCTCCCAAGCGCCTTCCTCTCCTGCTGCTCCAACAGATTGCGCGGCAGCATCAGCGGATTCCCAATCGCCAACGCCCACACCCTACCGCGGATGCTTGGCGGAGCACCTCTCCACCACAGCTTTTCGAGCTCCGGATCCTTGCGCGCGCGGGACCACGACGGAAGGATCTCCTTCTCCCAGCGAGCGAGCGCCTCGCGCTGCTCGTCCTGACGCTGACGTTTGCGCTCCTCCTCCTCGTCGCGCTTCTTGCGCTCTGCTTCCTTGGCGCCCATCATCATGCGCTCAAAGTCGGCGCGATGCTTGATCTCTTCCGTCTTGGGTTTCGCGGGTAGCGTGGTCATGCGCGTGAGGGAGTCGACGGGATCGGCACCTGCCGAGGACGATTTGCGACGGGTCTTGGGGTCGACTTGATCGGCTTTGTCGGATAGTCCGGGTGTGGCGCTCGTGGGAACGCTGTCCGCTTCTGGTGGAGCAAGTGATGAGGTTGCGGTGGTGCTGTGAGTAGATGTTCGGGATCCTTCTGCAGCATCGGCGGCGGCGACCTCGTCGGATATGGACGCGGCTGCTTTCGCGTCTGACGGACTGAATTTCGATTCGGCGGAAGATGTGAGGACAGGCAATGCTGAGCTTGCTGCTTCCGTACTCTTTCCCTCATCGCCCTGTGAAAGAGCCGTTGGAACGGTTCGGGGACTGACCGGATACTCCGCAACTACGCTGATGTTACCGTCTTCGTCCGCGGCGAGCAAGACAGGTGCGGGTGCAGCGGCAAGCCTATCCTGCAGCGAAGATGAGTCGACGGCGGCAGCGATATGGTGTTCTTGAGATGGACCTGCCGGTGCAGGACCGGGCGCACCGCTGCTAGGAGAGCGTGCAGGGCTAGCTGATCTGCTAGAAGGCGCACTCTTTCGACCCCTGTAGCGACCTTCTGCGCTGCGCCTCCCGCCGGTATCGGGACTGAGGGGTGGAGTCTGGTCATGGGTGGACGAAACAGTGTCTGCAGCAAGGCCTGTGTCATGTTCGAGTTGATCCGCTGATGCAGAGTTGGAAGTGTTCTGAGGGTTCCGGCTGCTGAAGCTGTCCCCGCGAATCTGCTCTGCGGTCCTTGCCGAGCCGGCCAATGGACCCAAACCTCTGAGACCGTCGCTTAGGCCTCCAGATTGTTGATCCGGAACGTCAAGGGTGATATCGACGAAGTTGAGTTCGGCCTTGTCGATGGTATTCTGGAGAGAAGATGGTACTGCGGAGTGATGCCTTCCAGAAAGATGTTGAGCTGTGGCCGAGCTCGAGCTGATGTCCGTGTCGACGCCGTCCTGAGGATATGTTGCTGAGATGTCGGCTTCTTCCTCTTCTTCTTCGGTAGTCATGTGCAGCGATGTGGATGCGAAACCGTTGGACAATCCAGTAGATACGTCGTGTGTGACACTGTACTTTTGAGGAGGCAGGGAGTCGATACGTCGATGGAAAGAAGCGTTCGTTGCTGCTGAACCCTCGTCGATCTTGGGAGAGCCTACGAGGGAGATGTCGCCATCGTCATCGTTGGCGTCTGAGGAGATTTCTAGCGTTACGCCTTCCTCGGGTGTGCGTCGGGACGTGCCGTTGTCAACGTCGTGCTGCTCTTCCATGGTCGAGCTGTGTCGGTCGCTCTGCTCAGGGTCTTGATGCGTTGTGCGTGTTGTTGACGGGACGTGATCCGACGCCGCAATGGATCCGTCGGATGAGGACATAACGTTCATTCGGCACACCTCAGCTGCGCTCCGCTTCCAGGTTGCAGGCAATTCCGGGTGCTGGTCACTGAGCTTTTGCGAATGTCGCTAAGATTCGAGGAGCATAGTGCACTCGTGTTGTCTGTGTGCACGCTTGTTGTTCCTCATTCGGAGCACCCGTCTTATCTGCACAGCTTACAGAAGAGGACTTAGGAGAGGCGTGTGTGCGGAGAGGAGCTGCGGATGCGTTGATGTTGAGAGTTGTGATTGAATGAGCGGGACAAGGACGTCAAGCTTGAGTTGTTCGGCTCGTGCGTCACAAAGCTGGCACTGCACTGCCGTAAATTTGGTGCTTTGCAATTCGGAGGAGGCTGGACCCTGAACTTATGGATGAAGATAGGGTGTCCTGCTGCCGCGTCGGTGACTTCTCTGTAGTTCACGCGAAGTTACACTCGTTGAGCGAGCGTCTTGACTTCAAGTAACTGGTGGACATTGTCATAGGCCCAGAGCGATGGACTTACCGCCTGTTGTCATCTCACAATGTGCTGGTCATCGAGCTCGAGATGCCTCTATGAGGTGGTGCTTGTGCGGCCGTGGTATCGACTCCATGATTGGCGTAGGAAAGGCTTATCGGGAAGATTCGACAGGGTAACCGTGATCGGATCGGGTGGCAGCGTCGCGCGCCCTTGTTCTTAAGGGTCGCGACGCGGAGCTGTATGATATTTCCAAAATCGTTGGTGTGTTCTGTCTCACCTTGCTCGGTCGGCGCAGGGGCCCAAAATCCCAAGAATCTCGACATGAAGAGGTGAAAGGCAGCCTTGGCTGAGCCATCGATCCACTTCTTCCGTCACTGTCACATCTCGGTGCTGCGTTGCCTTTCCTCACCACCATGCACATCCGCAAGTCAATCGCTCACCAGCACAGGACTCTTTGTCATTGACTCTCGCTGCGGCTCAGATACCCATCTTATCTGCGCCTCGTCGAGACCCGACATTCGTACACCCTTGCATCGGTCATTGCTCCACGCTCAAACCTTCCCGCTCTCGTCCGAACGAGCGTCGAACAGCCTCCTCGCCCAGAGCAATAGCTGAACCGCTGCACTACGAATCACGATTGTCCTCGACGCCGTCCGCAGCGTCGTGCCTACCCTTAGTCGCCAAGCTGTTTTCCTCCATTCTCGACGTCTTCTCGCCTTTTCGGAGGAAATTCGCTGCCGCAGATCATTCCCGCACGCAGCAGCAAGCTTCCGCCTCTCTTTCCAGTTCGCCGCAGACCCTCGCTGATCCTGACGCTGTTGAGGATCCAGCAATCACCGACATGGCCATGACACCGCGCAGGGGGAGGAGCGCTTCGGCGAGTCAGTCCCCGGCGAAATCAAATGGGCGCAAGAAGCCCATCCACATCGGCCTCTCAGATGATGACGACAGCGAAGTTGAGGAGAAGAAGAAGCCTGCCAGGAGAGGTCGTCCTTCCAAAACGAAGCAGCCAATCGAGGTAGTCGATGATGATGATGATGACGACGATGACAGTGTACAAGCAGAGGACGAATACGTGGTTGAAGCCATCCGCAAACACGAAAACCTCAAAGGCTCCGAATCTGTGAGTTCCCTTTCTGTCTTGCACCAGAATCCGCGCTCTCCGCAACGCGGTCGCTGCCCGAGTACTATCAGTCGCTAACTCTGATGGCCTCATACACGTCACGACTTTGCTGCCCTCTCACAATCCAGTGGGGATTCCAATACCTGATCAAGTGGAAAGACTACCCCGAGGAAGAGAACACATGGGAGCCAGAAGGACACATTCCGGACAACATCATCGACGCCTACTGGAAGACGCAGCCCGCGAAGTCACAACCTAAGAAATTTGCGCAAGAATCAAAGCGCAAATCCAGGTACGACGATGGCGTCGAGGAGGTCGACGACAGCGAATCGGAAGATGAAGCGGCCTCGACCAGCAACCGCAGGGCCGGCAACGGGCGCAAAAGCGCGGCCTCATCCACGAAACCCAGTTCGGCAAAGAGGGCTCGACGCTCATCAACCGCAGAAGAGGAGGAAGAGGAGGAAGAGGAGGAAGACGAAGAGAACGCAGAGATGTCCACGAAGCGCGCACAGGACAAAGCACGAGCGCTCGAAAAGGTCCGCGTTCGCTTCCTCGACCACTACATGAAACGTCAGAATTGGGATGAATGCGTCGATAGCATCATCAATATGCAGCGAAGCGAGGACGATAGCCAATTGCAGAGCTTCGTCCAATTCGAGCAGTCGTCCTCTTGGACAAAGGCGATGGACTCGATCGGAGCGCCCGAAGAAGCCGACGGCAAGGGTCCGAGGATCTGTGTCGACAACGACGTGGTCAACGAGCGATGTCCGCAGCGGGTCATCAAATTTTACGAGCAGCACATCCGATTCGCCAACCCGCGTGCCGCACATTAGACGGATCTCGGCGATTCAGCGATAGGCCGTTCCGTGTAAGGGGCAATTGATGTACTACAGCATTTCTACTCTTCGTCGGCGAAAGCCATAACGTCACACCTGCACCACCAGCATGGATGCGAGACGTCGTCCGTGGAGCAGATGACGACGAAACACAACCACATCACAGCAAAACCAAACTATTCCTTTCGTAACCACTTTGTAATATTTCACCTATCAAGCAAGACGATGTAGCGAGCTGGGGATGGTGGCTTTAGTTGCCGTACTGCTGGTCGTAAAGCTGTTCGGCCTGCTGGCGGGCGTGACGCTTGGCCTCTTCGCGGTCGAGGAAGTCGAGGCCCTTGGTTTCGAAGAGCTTGTCGACCTCACCACCGGCGATGCCGGCGAGGATCTCCTTGGCCATCTCGTGCTTGGGGTGTTCGCCACGGGCTTCCTGGCGCTTCTCGTATTCGCGCATCGCCATGAAACCGGCTCCGAAGCCGACGGCTTCGTGCGAGAACTTGGCCTGGTGCTCCTGAGGGTCTTGGTTGTCTGTTGAGAGGGGGAAGGGTGCGGTGAGCAGAGGGTAGGGTTCAGTGATGTGTTCGATATGTGAGAGGAACGGCTTGTCAGGGGAGAAGGGACATGGGTGGAGTCACGTACAGACAAAGTCAGCGGCTTCCTCGTGGTTTCCGAATCCGAACATCTTGATCAGTATCTAGGGTGTGTGGTGTGTGTGAAGGTTGTGTGACTGGTGTATTGTTGGGAGGATGTGGTGGTGGAGAAGGCATCCAGCGAATCTCGCAAAGGTATATATGTTGTTCTTGGCCGCCGCCTTACTTCTCTTGTTCTGGTGTTTCGGGAAGTGTCTGTCAGAATGGTCTGTGCTCGCCACAACGAGCGGCATTCCAGCAGAGTCGGCTCCATGCGCTTCCGACCGCTTCGCTGTCCCGCACACGCTTTCAAAACCAGGGAGAGATCAACACTTGCAACGTGCGTCTCTGACGCTTTGACCTCCTCGGGTGGAGAAGGCGAACCTTCCCGTTTAGCACAGCTTGCATGCGCACTGCCACACCGAAAAGTACAACACAGCTGTTGGTCTCGGGCTGCAACGTGCGGAGTTGGTGTGTGGGCTGAAGAAGGAAATGTGTGAAACGGTGAACGGACCATGCTGGTTTGCCACGTTATTTTCGGCCCTCGTTCCAGACCGCCCAAGCAGAGATTGACTGACCGGCGGCTTGTCGTTAGAAAGCCGGCGCGTCGCCTCCTGTTTCTGACGCTTCGGCAAAGCCTGCACTGCCGCCGGGAGGTGTCATCGCGCTGTGCTGCCCTAATCCTTCAAAACCACACACAACTAGATGAGGACATCAAGCAGACCCGAAGAACACACAGACCACCTCCTATCGTGACAACGTTGTGCACCTCAATGCACACGGACACCTTCCCGACCCACCTCGCTTGGGATCAGCCGCGCCAGCGAGAAGAACGGAGGTGACGTACTCGTCGTTTTGAACGCAGCGTCCACTAATGCGTTATCCACAGCATCTGACAATGGGCTGCAGATCTTGACACAGTCACAACAGATCAGCACGGTCCCCCCTGCCCAAGCTGTGCAAGTCTGACTTGGCGCGAGGCGTAGAACAGTCACGGCGCTAATCAAGCTACGTCCAGTAAGCTAGCTCCAGAGGAGGCGAGCAGGAACGGGAGTTCTAACCCCCCTAAGGCTATCCTGTCTAGCCAGCCGATCAAAATACGATACGGCCGTTTAGCAGTGCGGAAACACCGCCTTCGGCTTCTCGCATTTGTGTTTGTGCATACGCGTTTGGATTCCGCCGAGGTCAAAATCTCTCCTTCGCCGCCCGAAAAAGGGAAGATCCCTGACGACCCGGCTCACCTGGTCATCTCGCGAGTGCGTGGAAAGTTGGGCCGTGGCCGTGGAAGCAATTGGCAAAATGCAAGAGCTCGATCGGATATCTTGATGAGGCGCAAGTGTCAGATCGGATGGAATCGGTGTGATGTGGAATCGGGTCTCGACGACGCACCAGCTTCCCAGATCCAGCCTGCACAGCGACGATCCTTTCTGCTTACATCCAAGGGGGACCTCATTCTGCATCTCGCTGCTCATCTTACACACACACACACACACACACACACACACACACACACACACACACACACACACACACAC